AAAAAATAATAAATTTAATATAAATAATTAGTTAAAAGTAATAAATAAAACTATAAGAAACAAAATACCGATAATGACGTCAACAAATTTCATGTCTCTCGTTTGTATAGTATTTTTTGTCCGGTCCATGAGAGTTTGTAAGCTAGATGATCAGTTAGAGTAAGTTTTAATGCGTTTCTCTCTCTCTCTCTCTTACATGTTGTTCCGCATCTTTTCCTCCTATAATTCTAATTATCCTTTTCTGTAACAAAATTTATATAATTTAACTTTTATACATGTATTTTTATTTTTTAATTTAATTGACAAAGAGTACTTACATATTGTGATAAAGATACGGAGTCTTGTGTTATCAATTTATTAAATTCTTCTAGTGCCTCAGGCGTTCCAATCGGTAAATTCAAATTTATTGTGTTCTCTTGTGAAGAATATGGATGTATATCTAACAATAATTGTTAGATTGTAACCAATAATCGTGTAATTTTTTTAATGTTATTCTGACAAGCTCCTATTTAAGAAAAACAATGTATGTGTGTGCATGCGTGCGTGCGTGCGTGTGTGTGTGTGTGTGTGCATATGTATATAATTATAAATATGTGTACATATATTTTAATTAATTAATATATAGGAAGAGGCAATAACTATTGCCACCTTGGATATTTTCGGAAGTATTAGAATAGGAGAAAAATTTGCTTAACAGAAATTACATGATATAGAAGATATTCGAGAAACCAATAATTATTACTTTACCTTATATATAACTATAGTTAAATCATATTTATTGGAATATGAATTAATAAAAATTTATTTTTATACACTTACTACAACATAATTTATTATGAGATTCTTCTTTTCTTGTGATATTTTTTTCAATCTTTTGTTGATTGGTTTTATTAGGTGTTCCTAAATAACAATTCCTCCAAGTTTAGGTTATTTTACGTTTTACTTGGGCTATGCCACTTGGCGCGCACAACGCGAGCGTTTATTATTGTTTATTATCCCTGACGACCGTATCGAACTACCGGTTGTCATCGGTTCAAGAGCTCACTTACTAAAGACATCTATAAGTGGACATCATAAATTTTTTGAAAGACGTCTTATAAAAAGATAACTTATTGATATCATTTTTAAGAGATGTTAATGAGGTCTTCAAAAAGTCCTCTTAAAGAGCTCTTCCTCTTAATAATGCTCACCGGGTCACATCTAAGGGGTAGTTTTCACCCTTTAGAGTGCACCTTTACCGATATAAAAAAATATATATATCGATTATTTGTCATAGTTCTACAAGTGTGCAAAATCCCATCAAAATCGGTGAGTTCCGACAGACAGTTCCGTAAGTTTACTTGTGAGATATGTCATGATACCGCACCTGACTTAGCAACTTTGACATCGCCTATCTTCGAAACGAAAAGTAGGCTCAATGTAAAAATTTTCTGTGATCAATGTCTCATCATAAACTATCATTTAGCGTACTATTTGGTTCCAAATTCGAGGGCCGCAAATCAGGCGAAATTTCACCTCTTTTTGGGGTCATTCTTTCGTCGCAAGGCTACAATATAATGTCTGAGAAGACAGGCGTATACAAGGTGTCAAATAAATATGAATTAAATATGACAAAATAATAAATGAAAAATATACATATAATACTATATATATCACTGAAGAAAAATGTCATATACTTTTCTTATTTTTATCCTTATGTAATAAATACAAAATAACTAATTAATCAATTAATTAATACATACATCCACACATATATTGAATAAATAGTTATCTTTATTTTGTATTTTATATGATAATGACTGAAATAATGAGAGTATATATCATTTCAGTCATTATATAAAATATAAAATAAAGATAACTATATTCAATATGTATATGTATGTATTGAATAATTAATTAAGTTATTTATTTATTTTGTATTAATTACATAAGAATAAAAATAGGGAAAGCATATAATATTTTTTTCCAATTAGATATATAGTATTATTATACATTTTTCAAATAAAATATTTTCCCAGTCAACAAAATGTTAGCAGTCTGCTGGCAGTTTGCGAGCAGATTCGCTCAGAACTTGGCAGCAAATACGGTGCCATCTGTGTCTGCATTAAGCTCGTGTTCTGTCAGCAGAATCTGTCGACATAGATTGACAGCAGATTGGCAGCAGAAAACGAGCAGGATCTGCGCAGTATAATTTGGTGTCAGATTGTCGGCAGAAATCGAGCAGAACCTGCCGTCACAATTTAAATGGAATAGCGGCATTTAAATGCTTCATTACAATTTTACATTTCTCGTTTCGCTTATTAAAAGTAGTAAATGAGGTATGCAAAGTATATAATGTATATTTGCTTTATTGGGACAAAAAAAATACTTATGTTTTAATAAATTTATTTAGGCAAAATCTCGAAATCACTGCTCGAAATCTCGAAATATCGGGTCAACTCGCAGCGCATTTTCAATTTCAAAAATCAGTTTAATATTCTGAATCTCTTATGGGGATTGTATCAGATTATTGTATTAAACTGATAAGCTTCATTAAGCCACTGACCACACTTTATATGCACTGTAGATAAATTTTGAGTACGAGTTTATATATGAAGAAACACGCCGCATAGCGGCAAACAACATCAAATTGCACTGCGCAGATTTTGCTCGATTTCTGCCGCCAATCTGACATCAAACTGCGTTGCGCAGGTCCTGCTCGGTTTCTGCCGCCAATTTGTTGTAATAATTCCGAGCAAATTCTACTCGGTTTCTGCTACTGATCTGCTGTCAAATTATGTCAGCAGGTTTTGTAACATTTCTGCTGACATTCTGCTATTATCATCTGATGCAACAGGTTTTGTATACAATCTGCAGTCTTTCTGCTGACAAAAATTTGTAGCAGACGTTAGGCAATATCTGTTCGAACAGACTTTGCTGACTGGGTTATCATATCTAATTTATATCTATTAGACACCTCGTATAAGTCTATTTCGTCTCGTATGTACATCATACAGCCATACGATAGAATTTCAATTGCAAGAAAAAAGGTTAAATGACCTTATAAATTATCCGATAAAACATAAACAGACTACACGTGTAGTAAATTACTAACTAAAAGAAATACGTATTTCTTAAAATCTGCCAGTTCACGAATAAATCGTTTTTAGCTCTCTTTTTCTAAACTGTCAGCTGACGTTAGATCGCCTCTGACAATTATTCTTAAAATCTGCCAGTTCACGAATAAATCATTTTAGCTTCTTTTTTACTAAACTGTCAGCTGACGTTAGATCGCCTCTGACTATATTTATTAAAAATTGTTAGCTGACGTTAGATCGTCTCTGGCTTTTGTAACTCTAAATTGTCAATCCACGAGAAAACTGCCTCTGGCTTGTCTTATTCTGTATTGCCAGTCCACGAGAAAACCGCCTCTGGTTTGTCTTATTCTATATTGCCAGTCCACGAGAAAATCGCCTCTGGCTTGTTTTATTCTATATTGCCAATCCACGAGAAAACCGCCTCTGGCTTGTCTTATTTTATATTGCCAGTCCACGAGAAGACCGCCTCTGGCTTATCTTATTCTTTATTATAAGATATTTTTATTACGTCATATGTTTTATATATATATATATAATGTATATTATGTGCTATATTATCTATATTCATATCAAAATATCTTTTTAAAATGACATTATTTTGTATAATAATGTCTTTTTATAATAAATGTATATGATATATGTATATTATATACATTTTTTTTATTTCTAAAGCATAAAATATAAAGATATTTTTAATTTCTTGTGTCTATCATTTGTAAAAAAATCTTGATAAAAGAAACAACATTAATTTTGCGACTTGTAAATAATCTGTTTCAATATATGCTTCTTTTAAATACTTACATTAGCCTTATTTTACGTGATTAACTTGGTATTTAAAATACGTATCAAAATCGAAAATGTATTTCTATTACAGTAGAAAAGAAACATTCTTGTCTTACAACACAGAGAAATGGCAAAATATAATATTGTCTAAAGTACAGTCCAATAAAAACTGTTAAAATTGAACATTTTATAAAACCACTGTGATTTATGAAAAATCAAAACTATTATTTTAAAAATATAGACATATTTCGACTGTGTGTTTTAAACTGCACTACACATTCAAAAATCAGAGAATAATTTTATTTCTGCAAAGTTGTGCATAATGTCAGTGGAAAAGTGATTTATTTGTTATTGCATATACATGATATTTTACCATTCT